TAGTTTTCAGTTTGCAACTTGTGACTCATTTGTTTTAACTCAACTATTTCCTTTTTTACCATTTTTACTTCTAATTGTAAATCTTGCAAAGTAACTTCTTTCTTTTTAGCAAATTTTTCTAGGGTTGTATTTAGACTTACAGGCTGAGGAGTAGGAGGACTCAGGTTTTCCTGACTAAGGACTTTTCTCAATTTTCTCAGGTACTCAGTTTTTAACTCAGGGTTTTCTACTCGGCTTATTAAGTCAATTAACAACTCTTCCTGTTCTTCCTGTTTAGTCAGAACAGAAATGGACTTTAATCTATTACAACACTTATCTGTGCAACCAATTTGAATTGTGGGTGAACTCAACTGTGAATTTGAAAATTGTTCAGATTCAGACTCTGAGCTGGCAACTAGGGACTCAGTGCTTGCTTCAGAGTCTCGCAACTCTAAAACCTTTATCAACTTTTCTTTATCTTCATCCGTGATTTTCAACTGTTTAATAGTGTCTTTGACCTTACATTCAGACGCATAATGACCAAACTTTTGACATTTAAAACATTTAACTTTGCTTTTATCCTTATCTTTGCTTTTACTAGTGCGACTATTCTTTTGCTTATTCGGCTTTTTAGACCAACTTTTCCTAGGAGCGTATTTCTTTTTCTTGTAAAAATCGCGTGACTCATCATTATGTCGAGAAAACTGTTTTCTACGAGAATAATGGCGACTTTTACGGAGATGACTAGGCTTATTCTTTCTAGACGGGGGAAGGCTGGTAAGACCGTACTGTTCGCAGAAATTTCCTAACTCATACTTAGCGGATTTCCTGTCAGACTGTATCTGTTTACTAATTTTAAAATCTATACACATTTTCATACCAACTTGATTAATTGTGCTTATAATATTACCGTACGTTAAACTATCCCAATCTATATGACCCTGTTCATTACTAAGAGTGGTTCGGATCTTATGGGCAAATAGGTTTGGGAGGCCATTAACGAATTTCTCTTTCCAGAATGGTTGATTACTATCATCTCTAAGCATGACTCTAGAAATGAAGACATCTTTATACCATCTGAAATCAGACAACTTAGGGCATCTAAGATTACTCAACTGATCATGGATTCTAGCAGTGGTGTTGCTAGGGGTTCCAATGAAGTGCTCAATTATCGTGTAAAACAAAGTGTTGACACCGTCTTCTATACCTTGACCTATTTGTTCATCAAAGATAGGGAGACCGTCTTCATTAAGTTTTACGGCGTGTATGATCAAATTTTTAGACTCAGGGGTAAGATGCTTATCCCACCAATACCTGAGAGTACCGGTAAATCCGGTAACTAACAGGGGTACAATTTCAGACTGTCTGAAACTGTGATTGGTGATATAACTATTGGCGACCATGGACATGTGCTGCAACTTATTAAAGATTTCTTGTTCAGACAGACCATCAATATTCCATTCATATAATTTGTCGGAAGAAACTGAAAACTGGGTTTGAAAGTTTCTTTCTTCAAATTGAATGTCTGGAGGAGTTGGTCTGGGGTACCAGTTTTTGGTTAGACTGGTAGGGCTTATATGCCTTTCTACTTTCTTAATCTTGGGTTCAACTTGGACTTCTAGGTTTCTAAAGGCTTGCTCTATTTTGGAAATGTTACTGGTTTCAGAATCTGTGGACATAGGCTCAGACTCAGAGGGGTTGACGAAAGAATCTAGTGTTTTAAGACCAGATTTTTCAGCTTTTGGGGTCAACTGTTCTAGCATTTCTTCTATTTTCTTCATTGTTGGTTTGATCTTAAGAGTGGGACTCGACTTAAGATCCTGGAATTGAACTAACGGCTTTTCAACTTTTAGCTTAGATTTGACTTCTGGGGAACTAACAATTTTATCAATTTTAGTTTCAATTGTGTCCAATTGTTTCCCTATGACAACTAAACTTTGGTTGGTGTAATTGTTTTGCTCAATTAACCTTCTACTTTCATCATTATTATCGACAACTTTAAAAGGACTGGCAGGTATGAGGCTATTCCTATGACTGATAACTATGGCATCGACTGGCGGATGGGTAGACTCAACTACCGATCTGTCTACTAATTTCCATTTTTCTTTTGTTAAGGTTTTTAGCTCATTAGACATATATCGGCTTTCAATAAAATCAAGGTAGAAAATTTCAACTTTGGCTGACCGCATGTAATCTTTCCATTCACTAAAGATTTTATCGCGGACTTCTCTATCAGGATAAGTTTGGTGATAACTATCTCTCCTATGCTGGTTTTCTGGAGACTTAAGGTGATGATTAAGACGTTTCCAATCAATTACAAATTTTCTATTAAGGGTTCTTAATTGATTATCAACTATGAAATCGGACTGTGTGGGTGACTCAGGCGAGTCAGACTTAACTTCTTGGTCAATTGGTACCTTGCCGTAGCAAGGTTGGTTTACCTGAGAGGATTTTCTCAGGGACTCAAGCTTAAAATCAATCAAGGCCTTTTCTAACTCTAGGTCTCGTTCTAGAGTGGAAGACGAGGCAGTAAAGGAGTGTCGAGCTGGGGCATGCCTTTGTGACTGACCAGGGGTTGGCAACTGTTGTAACTGTACATTAGACTTTCTTAAAGGCTGATTTTCAAATTTAATTTTAACTGTGCCATCTAGATATTGTTGGATGTAGTCTAAATTACTTAGACTACGTTGGATCGGAGCTGGTTGGCTCTCGGTTACTAGGGTCCATTCTTTTGGAAGGGCGACCTCTGACCATTTGATGGTCTGAGGGACTTGGATATGGGCATCTGCAGTGTGACTCTGAATTAAAACTGTTTGGTCTTTTGGGCTTTTATTTAGGGCTTGGAAATTTATATTAGTGCCTGTAACCTTATAGTAGATTCTGTATACTAAGGCTAAAGGTTGGGTGCCAGGGAGGACATCATAACCTTCGGTCTTAATATTCAGAGTGAGGGCTTTTAAGATGTGTGGATCACTAAGACTTACAGTGAAATCTGGGTAACAATCAAAGTGAACCGGACCATTAGTCAGACTAGACTCAATGACTCCTAGAACACTATCACTGAAATTAGTAAACCGGGCATCACGCAAACAGAGAAGGATAGAGGCTTGTAATCCTAATCTGGTTAACGGTTTGGCTGCAACTTGAACTAGGCCTATATGCAAGAAATTATTACCATCAGACTTATGTTTTCTTACAGACTCAAGATTAAGCAACTGACAGGTTTCATGTTCTTTACTTAAGGCGTATACTTGTTCAACTGTTTTGACATGTGTGGTACTATTAAAACTGGAAGGCAACCAATGTTTCTTATAAATCTTTTGACTCGGGACTTTAGGGATATTCCAATCTCTAAAATCTAATTGTTCTTTGTTATTAGACTTAAATTCAAATTGTTCTTCATTTACTATCTCAGGAAGTCGGCTTATATTGGTTTTAGAACTGCTTGAACTACAGGAATTTGTTCTAAATAAACGACTCATGACTACTCAAACAACTGAATTTTAGACTCTGAGGAAGAAGATGAACAGTGGCTTCCTAGACTTAACCGTTTTCTCAACAAGAAACTTATTAACCTTTCTCAATTTTCTGTCTCCTGCCCACCTACGCTGCCCACTACCCTCGGGGACTTACAACAGGAAAAAGGACTCACGGGTCAGACCTTAGAGAAGGATCAACAAATGACTCAAAAAGAAAAGAGAAGAAGAAGAAGAAGACAACTGTAGAAATTCTACTCAGAAGCTTAAACCAGCCACTTGGGCGGGGATGAGTGGCAGACTTAGACAAACAACCGTAACTCTTACGGCTCTGATACCAAAACGAAAGGGAACCAGAGATAGAAGAAGAACAGGGAAGAAATGCAATGCAAGCAACTGATGCAGTTAAAATAATGCTTATATGAACTTAATCAAAATAGAGATAACTGAAAATAGCAATTTTATTTATATACTCACAAAGTACTCACAACAGCAACTATGCAACTTCAGAGATACAAAAACTCTCAGTGTTTACAAAGGATGATTTCTCTAAAGTGTTTAGAGAGAATCTATAAAAACTGAAATGTAAATTGTATTCTGCTTACAACTAGGGTATTCCTCAAATAAGCTTATTTGAGGGACAACCTTGTAGGACCCATTTTGTACTGTATTTTACTAATCCAAACAGTCTATTTTGTAGATATTCATTCAAAGATCATCTCTACAAAAAATCACTTGAATTCGATATAATTAGACCACTCAATTGAAATATTGAAATTTTAGTACTTTCTTGAAGCACTATGTTAATTAATTTTGTAGGACACAATTGGATGTCAAAATGGTTTCTAATTTGTTAAATTTCTTATGGGAGCCTAACTTGTGTTATTTGAGGGAACACTAAATAGAAGGGGTGTCGTGCGGCTATACTATTTAAATATAATTCAAATATTTAAATAGTTTTTAAATATAATAAATTCAAATATGTAAATAGTATAGCCGTCCGGCCATACACTTTGAATATAATAAATTATAATTAAATAGGATAGCTGCTCGGCTATACTCCTTAAATATAATAAATTCGAATATTTAAATATTATAGATATGCGGTATTACTTTTTAAATATAATAAATTAAAATATTAAATAGCATAGCTGCCTTGCTATATTTTTTAATTATAATAAATTCGATTATTTGAAGAGTATAGCCGGGCGGCTATACTATTTAAATATAATAAATTTGAATATATAAATAAATTTTTTTTTTGGTGAAGAAACGGGGCTAATGCCCAACAAAGAAATTAAACAATGGCTCGAGGCCTACAGACTCCAAGTAAATCTTCACTAAGAAAAGACCTACACTACTACAATTTTGTTAAACTACGACACTCTATAGACGACCCTTTATATAAAAACTGTCGTGGTATTTTAAAAGACGACGAATGTTATAAAACCGTCGTGATAAGGTACCTAATACACCAATGTGTTGGGTTTATTTTTAAAATTACGATGATACCTTATTAGGACCGTCGTGCTTTTAGGAGGCGCTAAACAAAAATTCATTTTAAGTTCGCGAGCGCGGACCATTTCAGAAAACCCTCGCTTGCTCAAAACCCTCTCTCTCACATCGATGAAGCACATCTCCCTCTCATCATCCACCGAACTAGCCCATATCTCCATCTCCGTGGACATCGAGTTCGACGAGATCGCCATCTCCGTCGTGCCAGCGTTCGCCATCTCCCTTCCTCGTCGCGACCATTTTTAAGCCCCCAAATGGATTCCCATCTTCCATTTTACGAGCTTTAGATTAGATCTTCTTCCTCGTAGACCAGAAAGGTACGAAGCTACTGATTCTTCTGATTTGATTTCAATTTTTATTTTTTCTTGTTTATTATGGTTGTTTGTCTGAGATATAGGGTTACGATTTGTTTGTTCTTTAATTTCGGTGCGTATTGACATATATACGATTTGTTTGTGGTTAGATCTGACTTGATTTAAGCTATATATAGTTCAGCAGTTGCATTTTTTAAACCTTTTTGCTTTTATTTTGTTCAAAAATTCTAGTTCATATGTTTTTTTGTACCTTTTAGTGCTTTGTTGTTGAGTTGCAGGGCCTGGAAAGTTGCTTTGGTTTTAAGATTATGCATGAACCGCATCAACTTTAGCATGAACTGATTGGATCAACATGTCATTCATATAAGTGCTAGAAGCATCACTGAGTGTTATTTTGGTTTGTATTTATTCATTTTTTGTAAATTTGTTTGTGAATTTTGGTTTGTATTTGTATATTTTTGTAAATTTGTAAGTTGGGTCATTTTGTTGGTGCACAGATTAGCTATAGCCTGGCCTTGTTCTGCTTAAGTTGAGGTTTGGGCTATTGGGTTTTGTAGAATTTGGAAACAGGGTTGGTTAAAACCCAGTTTGCTTGTAAGAACAATGAAATTACTGCTTGTGTTTGGTCAAATTTAGTTTACTGGGCAGTTTTTGTGTTTGTCAAATGTAGTTTTGCCAATGCGAAATCCCGGATTAGCATCTTCTTCTACCATGCATTTGTCTCCTATGTTTAGTTGTTAGTGAACAATGACCAACTTTGGAGAATTCACAGGTCATGTAGTAGGTGTAGTTCTTCTGATAATATATACTGCCTATTTTGCTAGGAAACTTGTGATGCTTGTATTTATGATTTATGTTTTGGTTGTCTTCTGTAGAGTTGTATTAGCACCATTGACTAGAGAAAGATCATATGGAAATGTTCCTCAGCCACATGCCATCTTATATTACTCTCAGAGAACATCTAACGGAGGTCTTCTTATAGCTGAAGCCACTGGAGTTTCTGACACAGCTCAAGGGTAATTTGAAGAAGAGCAGCTTTCTAGTTTTGATGTTTTAGTTTAAGTAACTAAGCTTCATTTGAGGGTGCTTTCTTTATTTAATGTTTGATGTCTCTTTTGTTTCTTTCATATGCGAAGGTACCCAGATACTCCTGGTATATGGACTAAGGAGCAAGTGGAAGCATGGAAACCGATTGTTGATGCGGTTCATATGGTAATTTACAGGTTGGAGAAGATATATTTTAAAGAGCTCTTAGTTGCCAAGAATGCTGGTGTAAATGGAAGTGTTGTCAGTGAGAAGGTATTCTCTCGTTTGGCTTTATGTATTATGTTACTATCTGATTTCTATGTTTGTTTAATAAGTTGAAGTCTCCTTTTCCAGATGTTGCAATTCTGTGTGATCCTTTTCATAGGATTTGTTTTTTTTCCTGCCTTTTGTGAAGTGTATGTTGATATCTGACTTTTGTTACGCTGGTGGTTTATAGTTTAAGCCTTTCATAAAGAATTTTTGTTAGTTATGCAATTTAGGATTGACTAGCTGTTTGCTCTTTGAATAAGCTTGCTCTTCTATCTGATAAAGCTTTCTGTTTGATGTTCTTATCCTAATTAGATTAGCTCTTTTTCAGTTTGTAAGAGAACAAGACTATAGAGGTCTTAATTGCACTACTGTGTAGGAAGAGAAGTTAAGGAGAATAATAGTCTCCTCCTATATTGAGAGAAGGAACAAAACAGAGAGTTCAAAAAATGGCTCCAGCGTTTTTTTTCCCTTCAGCTTTCTTCTCATTCTTTATTATGCTTTGAGTGCTTTAGTTAGACAAAAAAAAAAAACTCCAACACTTCTGCTCTAGTTATTGTTTTTGTATTTTTTTCCTGAATTAATTGTTTATTGTCATGTAAATGTAGGATTGGTAGAGCTGTACCATAATGGCAGCCATGGTGTGGACATTGAAGGTCCAGCAGAAGTTCGCATCGAATGGGCAACATTTATGAGCAATCACATGTACTTCCTCTTTATAAGTATAGGTTAAATGCTATGGATATAGTAGGAATGAAGATTGGTAAACTATGTAATTACTATTGAATATTCAAGTTTTATGAAAGAAACAATGTTATATACATGTATGGTGTGGGTAATGGTAGATTTGGACTTGAATTTATGAAAGAAACAATGTTATGAAAAAAAAAAATGTAAAATCACTATGTCAATTTTACAGATAATACACGAGGGTTTTTTTTTGTAAAAACCGTCGTCTTTAGACATAATAGACGACGGTTCTTTTCAAAACCGTCATCTCTACATATAATAGACGACGGTTCTTTTAAAAAACTGTCGTCTTTACATCTAATAGACGACGGTTCTTTTAAAAAACCGTCGTCTTTACATATAATAGATGACGGTTCTTTTAAAAAACCGTCGTCTTTACATCTAATAGACGACGGTTCTTTAAAAAATCGTCGTTTTTACATATAATAGACGGTAATTTGACATTAAAAAAGATGACGGTCGATTTAACGACGGTTTGAAAAACAAAAAGACGACGGTGTTTTCCCGTCGTCTATTTCAATTTTTGTAGTAGTGCTAATACTGTCAGGAGGGTCCTAGAAAGTTGACAGACCCAACTCAAGACATGAACCCAATTCAGCTAGTTTATTCGCTACCATGTTGCACTCACGATATACATGATGAATAGAACAAACCCATTTTTTGTTTATATAGTCCTGGCATCCCCACAACATAATAGCAAGAGGATGAAAGTCTTCCACATTTTTGTTAAGCAGGTGTACCGCGGTCGCTGAGTCAGACTCAAGCACAACTGCACTGCAACCTATATCCCAAGCAATTTTCAGTCCAAGATAGATGCCCTATAACTCAGCTTCCAAGACTTGTCCTACACCAAGATTGACAGCAAAGCCTCTCATCCACTGCCCAGAACTGTCTCTGAGTACACCCCCAGCAGCAATGCATCCATCCTCACCGTTTCTGCACCCGTCGATATTGATTTTAATCACTCCTTCATTCGGATATTTCCAAGATAGCGCAATGAGAGAGTAGGTGGGTTTTCTAGTTTTTTCAATATTGGCTTGTGTCCAATCTGCAGCAACCGTAAGAATGACATGTCTGGGGTTGTTGGGGAACACAATGATCAAAAATATTTTTGTTCCTCCATTTCCAAAGAAACCAGCAAGTGAAAGCAAACATGGTTGACCACTTCACTCCATAAGCCAAAATTGTAGAGTTGTGTAAATTTTTTGCAACCCAAGTATGAAGATCAGCAACCTGCAGCAAACTCAAATTCATATGCATAAGGGACTGATGCCAAACTGAAATTGCCACTGGGCAATTCCGTACAATATGAGTTGCATTCTCCATTGGGGCACCACAAATATCACCATTGGCAGTCATGGTCATCTTCCTTTTAACTCTTTGATCATTTGTTAAGAGTTTATCTTGGTGTAGCAACCAAAGGAAATATTTAATTTTTGGGGGAGCCTTAATGTTCCATATAAAAGCCCAGCTAACATCCATACTCAACGACTCCCGACAATTAGCCATATATGCTGATTTAACATTGAAAGAGCCATTGTTAGTATGCTTCCAAATAGGAATATCTGGTTTACAACTTAATCCAGTAGGTACACACGTAATATGACCTACCATCTCAAGTGGTAAATCTTCCTTTAGCTTTTCCAGGTCCCAAGTGCCATGAGACAGATAGTCATAAACTTTCAATTGTAATTTATCTTCAGGCACCCTCCCTAACCGACTTATCAATGGCCCATCACCAACCCAATTATCTATCCAAAAGGAAGTGTGCAGCCCCTCTCCCACTCTAATTTTTATCCCTTTTTTTAAAATATTTGCACCATGTTCAATAGCATGCTATGCAGGAAAAGGATGCGAGTGCTTTGCCCTTTCATTGCAAAAAATATTAGAAACATTACCTTGTAGGTATTTCTGAATTAGAGCATTTGACCAGAGGCTCTCCTTGTGATGCAATAATCTCCATCCTACCTTGGCCAACATAGATTGGTTCATAAGATCAGTTAATAAATTCGAATATTTAAATAGTCTAGCCTCACGGCTATACCCTTTAAATATAATAAATTCGATTATTTAAAGAGTATATCCGCCCAATTAAAATACTCCTTAAATATAATAAATTTGAATATTTACATATGAAGTTCAATAATTCCCAGAGAAACGAAATACAAAATATAGATTTAAGAGTGTTTTTATTTTTATTTATCTCTTTTCTAAATGTTTGGGTGGGAAAATTATGGATTACACGTAGAGCACATGTGATAAAATTTATGGCAGTTGATCTGCAAGATGCAAAGGTAATTCTTTGTTTCTTTTTTAGCTCATAGAATAATTACGCTAATGGAAATTCATACAGGCATTGTGATATTAAGATAGATGACTAAGCATAAATTGTGATAAAGTTCATAAAACTTTTGCTTTCTTTTTCTTACAGGCTTTTCTCTTAATTTTGATGGAATCCCGACGTCGCTTTGACAAAGATATACATGGTTATGATCAGGTATTGTAGATCTCCATGAAAATTTTCTATGGAAGTATAGTCACACTCAAATACTTAAGGAAGGAATTATATATATATATATATATATCAAGAAAATGGCTATACTCTTTAAATATAATATATTTAAATATTTAAATAATATACATGCGCTGCTATACTTTTTAAATATAATAAATTTGAATATTTAAAGAGTAACGCCACACGACTATACTCCTTCAATATAATAAATTCGAATATTTAAATAGTATAGCCATGCGGTATTACGTTTTAAGTCGGAATAGAGCACACCGCATGTCTATGAACTCGTAACGTCAAGCTTTACGCAAAAAGAAGGGGATGCAATACGAGGACTTCTCAGGAGGTCACCCATCCTAGTCTTAGGCCTTGTTTGGGATTACTTTTTTAAGCCAAAAACCTGCTTAACTTTAAAGTTAAGCAGTTTAAGGTGTTTGATAAAAATAAAATATCCTACTTATTTTAAAAGCAATGGTATTTTGACATAATTGAAGCAGCGTGCTCCCTTTAATAAAATTTTCGCAATTCCACAAATACCCTTATTAGGTTAGAAATTTATCCTCACGTATTTTTTTCAAATATGCAGACATTAAAGTTCATCTTCACGTAGCCACCTAAGTTTGGAGACAACCATTCGCTCAATCTCTCTCACAAGGTAGATTATCAATCTTTTCAAAGTTATTTATTATAATTTTCTGAGATATATTTATTCTTCAATCTCTCAAACTTTTTGTAGACGTGTTGCTTCTGTTTTTTTGTTTGTTTTTTTTTACTAGTTGTGCTTTGCTGTAAAACACTACATAATTATGTTTGCTTATCCCAGACCTTGAGAGTTTAAATTTGTACATACCCAAGGTTGTTCTAGTAGAATATGAAGTGATTGTGTATTATGGTATTTGAGGCTAAAAGAAAGTAGGTTATATTTGGTCCTAGAAAAAAAAATACAAATTTATAAATAAACTCAATCCTAGACATGTATTTATAAAAAAACTCAAACATTATTTAAACATAGAAACACACCCAAAATCAACCCCAAAATCAACAATTGTATATTTTTTGGGTGTGTTTATAAATGAGTTTTGAGTGTGTGTAATAATGGGTTTTGGGTGTGTTTATAAAGTGTTTTGGGTGTTGGGTTTTTTTATAATTTCAACCCCCATTTTGGGTGTTTTAGTGAAACTCCCATGATGTATTTTTTTTGAAACTTGAAATTGAATTTTTACTTTTCTTTAAGCAAAGATTAATATAATTTTTAGGGAAGAAAGTATAAAAGCATTTTACAGTTTTATTTTTTACCAAATAGATTAGTAAAAAGTACTTTCAGCATCATGTCCATTTTAGTTAGTATAAATAGTTACAACACTTTTACAGTAAAATTTACCAAACGCTCTGATACTACTTTTCATACTCACAACACTTTTAAAATTACAGTTTACCAAACGTTTAACTGCTTTACTTTACAGTTGATTCTTTTTAAAGCGCAACAGAAGCAATTTCTTTTTTAAAGTGGCAACAATCCCAAACTAGGCCCTACTCTCGCCCAAACTCGCTTAACTTCAGAGTTTTGATGGGATCCGATGCATGTGAGTTGGTATGATCGCATTCGTTTGCTTATAATGCCTAAAAGTATATAAGCCTTATTTGAGCTATGCCATATGACCATGGGTTGCCTATCCAATACCCCCATGTGACATGGCATAGGTTGTTAGACCTTGCCGTCACCACCCCTACCTTGCACCTTGTGTAGGCCTGCCGATTTGCTGGTTCCAATCGAATGTGGAACCTACCCAACGATAATTGAACAAAAAAACAAAAAGAACCCCAAAAAATTTGGCAGTGAGTCGGTTCCTGCTGTTTTTTCGTTTTCGTTCCTTCTTAGTACCTAGTTAATTAGAAATGAGCTCCACAAGGTCATTATAAAAAAAATCCATATAAAGACGATGGAAAATAAACACCCACGATAATTGAAACACGATGACTTCCCAATAGGTCACCCATCCTATTACTACTCTCACCCAAGCTCGCTTAACTTCGGAGTTCTGATGGGATCTGGTGCATTTGAGTTGGTATTATCGCATCCGTTAACTTATAACGCCTAAAAATTTGTTTCAGTTTATGACTTATTCTAGCAAAACAAGTGTGGTCACCGCAAATGGTGTATCAAACCCCGTAACAGGAGCTAGTTCCATTGCTCTCTCTTCGACCCTGTCCTTACAAAATATCTTGCTTGTTCTTGCCTTGTCTAACAATTTGCTATTAGTTAGCCAAGTTACGAAACAACTGGATTGTCTTGTACTAATGTTTCTGCTGTTTTTTTTGCTTCAGGACATTCAGACAATGGAGATCATTTGGCATGGTACTAAGAGGGGTGGGTTATATTATATTGATGATGTTGCACCAAGAAGGGTTCATAAGGTTCTAGCACTAACAACAAGGTAGAAAAAATATATTTGGTTATGGCATCAATGGTTGGGGCATGCATCTTTTGGTTATTTGCAATCTTTAATTCCTTCGTTATTTAGTGGCATAAAAATCTTAGACTGAGTATGAGACTTGTATTT